TGTGTGTGTTTGCAGGGGCCCTTAGATATCCCTGCTTTGCTTTACCTGTGCAGCACATAACTAACACGTCTTCTCTCCCACTCCACTGTCATTCCACACTTTGCAACTGCTTTGATATTCCTGATGTTGGAACAAAAAGTTAACTCAACCATTTCAAAAAGAAAGAAATGCTCTGAGCACATGCAGTTCTGCACTGTAAATTCAATTAATTAATTTCTGTGCTGCGCAATAGCCAAATCTCTCTGGGCAATGTGAACAACAGTGATAAATACACTAGGATGCAATATAGAATAGAACAACAATAAAACATAAAATTACAGTAAGAATTAAAAGCATTTTTAAAGTCACATTCTTACAGCCAAACAGCTAAAAGCAGCCCAGGCTGCTAGGCCTGCGGAAGAGAAGCAGGTGATGCCCCGTCCCCCCACCCTTATGTGCCTGGAGTAGGGTTGGGATGACCCTTGCAAGGGGTTGCCCCAGGCACCCCTGTTCTCCATGCCAGGCCTGGAAGGGGGGGGTTGATTCCTGGCAAGTGCCCCACAAGCGCTGGGCCACTAGCCAGGGACTCAGACTCTGGGCTGCTGAGTCCAGAGAATCCAATGGATTCCCACCCTCAAATGAATGCTCCACAAACCGCTGGACTGGAGTTGGTAGATGCCTCAGCATTTAACTCAGAATGGAAAAGAAAGCCAAGTCAGTGCCAGACAGGCCTTGGTGGGGAGAATACTCCTTAGCTTGGGGGCTGCCACAGAGAAAGCACTTCTTGTTGTCACCAGCTGATCCTCCCTTGGAGGAAGGCCTCAGATACTGAGGTCTTGTTTAGGTACATTGTGGTTGGCAGAAGCTTTCCATCAGGTATTGTGGTTCCAAGATTTGAAGGATTTTATAGGTTAATACAAACACCTTGAATTGGACTTGGAAGCATCTAGGCAAGCCAATACAAGTAGACCAGAATGAGAGTTACATGTTTGGATTGTCTGCTCCCAGATATTTGTCTGGCTGGCACATTTTGCACAGGCTGAAGCTTCTGATCTGTCTAGGCAGCCCCAGGTAGAGCACCTTACAGTGGTTTAGTTTAGAGATTACCAGAGCATAGATCACTGAAGCTAGGCTTTCCCTGTCCAGATAGAGGCATGGCTGGGCCACTATCCAAAGCTGCTAGAAGGCACTCTGTGCTACTAAAGCCACCTGAGCCTTGAGTGACAAAGATGACTTGAAGCGCACCCAAGCTATGGCCTTGTTCCTTCCAAGGAATGCAACCCCATCCATAACATTGGAGCATTCTGCATCTTCTCAGAGGAACCACCCACCAACAGCACTACGGTCTTGCCTAGACTGAGCTTCAATGTGTTAGTGTTCGCCCGGCCAGGAACTGGTTTAGCACATCCACAACCTGATCTGATGAGGTTGATAAGGAGAAACAGAGCTGCATGGCATCAGCGTACTGATGACGGCATGCTCCAAAACCCCGGATAACCCAACTCAGTGGTTCCATGTGGCACAACGCGAAGGCCGAGATCAACTCTGAGGCACCCCGTGCTGGAGAATCCAAGGCTTCAAGCAATATCCCCCAGTAGGCTGGCACCGACCCTCCAAGAAGAATGGAACCGCTGCCCTGCAGTTCTCCACACTCCCAACTCAGAAGGTTGCCCCAGAAGGATGACATGGTCAATGGTATGCACAGCCCCTAAGAGATCTAGGAGTATCAAGGGAATCATTTCCTCTCCTGGCATACAGAGTGACCAAAGCTGCTTCTATTCAAGACCCAGTCTGAATCCTGCCTGAAATGGATCCAAATAATCAGTCTCATCCAAGAGTGCCTGGAGGTCATTGGCCAGCACCCACTCAAGGACCCTGCCAAGAAGGAAGCAGGTGCCACTGGCCTAGAATTATTTGGCTCTTCCACGTCCAAAGTAGGAGTGGCCTCACCACTGCCTCTTTAAGACAACATGGGGACCTCCTTCTTGGAGGGAGCCTTTGATCACCCCTGGCCCAGGTGGCTCTTCTCTCCCGGCTGGCTTTGATAAGACAAGAGGAGAAGTGTCCAGCACAGGTGTGGCAGCACGATTCTGCCTAAGCGCCTTGTCACCGTGCTGGAGCTGAACGCCCTTCCCCTTGCCTTTTTCTTTCTCACCGTCTTGAAACAAAGGTGAATATTAACAGGCCAGCTGCTTCTGTGAAATACAAATTAATCTCAAGGAGGCTCTGAATAGCTTTCTTAAATTAGGGATGCTCTCTAGTACCCGATTTGAAAAGCCCCAGTCGAAGGTGTTTGTAGATACTGTTAATTTTGACACACCTGTTTCAATGTGATACTCTCACTTGTACGCTTGAAGATCGCTCCAGAAAGATAATGCGCTGTGCAAAGGGAATCAGCCCTTTCATATATCTGAGGCTGCTCTTGTGCTTCCTTCACCTCTAACCGTGGCTTTTCTAAATCCCGTTTCATTTTCACCAAAGTATTTAAGCCTTTTCAATGGATAGAAAGATTCAGCAAGTCTTTTTAATTCAGAAATCTTTTATTCACTTATGCGTGGATACTCAATTACCATATGGATGACAATGTTGTAGTAAGAAAATCTTTCTCCCACCGTTCAGTACATAATCTCTCCTTTCTGTGTCAATTTTCACTGCACGATGCATCTCAAATAATGGAAACGTGACTTAATTTTCAGTCTGTCCTTGAACAGCATTCAGTAAGTCCTTTTGATTGAAATGTTCGAGTTCTTGCTGGAAGGAAGACAATCTCTTCAATATAATCTTCTTTTTACCATATTAAAAAACTAAGTGTTTGTTATTTTTTCCTGTTACCAACAAAATTAACTATTTTGCTTTTGAGGCTGGAATAAGAGAGACTGACCAAGGCAGTAGTTCTGTTTCATAGTAAAACTGTTCATTTCAGGTACTGTGGAATCGTGGAAATTCCAGTCTTAAACAGGATTGACTATATGTCTGAACATTCTTAGCAAGCAAATGGGACAGAATTTCTGATGATGAAGCACTAAATCATTCATTATGAGTGGGGTACACTGCAGAGTGTTATGTGTCCAATTTTACAGAAGACAATCCTATATAAGAGGGGTCTTCTATTTGAAGAAATTTCCAGCCCAAGATAAAGAGCCGTCAGAAGGGAATGCAAGGAAAAAATCCCTAGCAAACATTAGGACTTGACATCATACTCACCAGGTACAATACACAGGTCACCTGGTCATAGTATTTTTGTATTTTTATTTCAAGAGCATCATTGTCTGCACATATGAATCAGCATATAACATTTTTATGTGAATTGTCTATTTCTGTCTCCCTGTACGGTGATCTATTTCTCTCTTTTGACAATGAATTATTAGCCGTCCTTATGATAGCACTTCAGACTCGGACTACCTGCAATCCCAAAAGTTCTGAATGCCCCACTGGGTTTGGCAATTGCTCTCTGGTTAAAAATCACTGATGCAAGGTCTGCAGCATGATTTAGGAATGCTTGAGAAAATCTGGCAGGGAAAAAGAATTACACAGCGAGTGAGCGTAGCCTTTAACACGATGCACTGTGTATCCACTTTATGATACATGCATGGGAATATGTTTTATTGCAAGATCTGATCTTACTGCTGAAAGTGGGCGAGCTTATTCCCATTGGGTGTGTCTTTGTTCAGTCATTCCCTCTGAAGGAAGCCTCCGAGATGAAGCAAGCAGACACCATGCCAGATCTCGTTATTCCAGCAGCCAGCCTACAAGGGACGGGGCTGGGGGAGGGGGCTGTCATCCACAGACACTGCTATTAAGCTAAGGTGTCATTTTATACATACCGCAGCAGTCTGACAAATTACGGAATGATAAAGGTTACAACAAGGTCACTTAGTCGCGGGGCAGGCATAACGCAACCTCTAGATCACCTCTTGACTGACAATTTCCCATTTTCCTTCTTCTTCTCCTTCTTCTCTTTTTTAATGGAGTACACCAGTCATGAAATGTTCAGTTCACAACCATAAGACATGTTAAGGAACTGCCTTTACAATGAGTTAGATCCATTTTCTAGTCACCTTGGTAACTAAAGTCCCATAGTCAAGCTCTGTTTTTAATGAGCATAAAAACTAAAAACAAATGTCATATAAGTAATTGGCCTATTTAGCTGCATTCTTCTATGTGTATTTTTAAAAACACAATCAGTTATATCATTTGAAATCATTTATCTGGAGTCTATGGGGAGCTCTTTTACACCATCTCATATTGATTCTCATGTGCAGATTGCTTTCTCACACTAAATAGAAAATTCAAAGGAAATTAATATTTAGACAAAGACATAGAAGACATGTATGGTATGCAGGTATGACAGTGGCTTTTTGTAAGTTCTGCCTTAATGCTTACGTATGCATTGGGCTTGTTTAGAATAATAGCTCTAAAATGGCCACATGCCTTGTCAAAACAGAGGTGGGGGAAGCATTGTCCAACCAGTAAATAAAGAAGATAGATATGTGCAAATATTGTGGATGGAGAGCTATATGGCTAGCTGCAGATTTAGAAATGAGTATAATTTAAACAGAAATAGAATATGCTTCACCAAAGTGGGGAAAACAGTGCTCAGACACCTTTGGTCTATCGGGCAAGCACTAACTGTAGGTGGGCAACTTCAGAATCCTATGGCTCTCCTTTTGGATCCTACTTTTGATTGGGCTAGGACCAGGGAGCCCTTCAAAGATGCTTTCCAACAAAGGCCTGTTTTTTGACAGACCTCCAAATAGAGGACCATCTTCTGTGAACAGGACTCATGCTTATATTCATAATACCACAGTGATAATGTCATGGACAGGGAATGGATGGAAGTAGACAAAAGAGCGTTCTGGTTCTTATGCTGTAGCTCCCTGGGGGACCACATTTGAGACTCCATATCTGCTGTGTGCTTTTAAAAGAATTCCATATGGAAAAACTGGAAGAAAAACCCTTTCTGGAGACCCTGGAGACTAGATGGATCAACGGTTTGACACAGGACAAAGCAGCTTCATGCGCTGCTGCCCTCCGGTTGTAGCTGAGAAGCATCTAGAATGACGTTGGGGATTTATTGCCCCATCGAATTCTGGTCCAAAGAAGCCAACCAGAGCATACAAGTGGACTTCCTCCTTCCTACTGGGATCTACCTGACCCTGCCCGTGTCCTGCAATGTCACCTGGGGCACGATCAAGCTGGTGGCCTGGCACCATGCCCAATATGAGCCCCTCTTCCAAATGCTCAGTGACCCGGATTCCTACGTCTTCACATGCATCGACCAGATGGTAGAGCAGCAGGAGCTGGAGGATGAGCAGCGGCACCTCTGCGACATCCAGCCCTTCCTGCCGGTCCTGCGGCTTGTGGCTCGCAAAGGCGATCGGGCAAAGAAGCTGGTCAACTCCCAGATCAGCCTCCTCATCGGCAAAGGTTTGCATGAGTTCGACTCATTGAAAGACCCAGGAGTCAACGACTTCCGTGCCCAGATGCTCCAGTTCTGCGAGGAGAGAGTAGCCAGGCGGCAGCAGCTGAACTGGAGGGCTTGGATGGAGTACAGCTTCCCCCTGCAACTTGAACCCGTGGCCAATGGCCTGCGGAGAAGCCCCTTCCTGTGCCCAGCAAGAACATTTTTGTCAATGTCAAATTCGAGTCTGGAGGGGAAAGTTTCACCTTCCAGATCTCACCGAAGGATTTTCCCACGACACTCATGAGCTACGCCATCAAGAAACAGGCCACCATCTTCCGCCACCAGCGAGTCAGCAGCCCGGACGATTACACACTGCAGATCAACGGGAAATACGAGTACCTGTATGGAAACCACCCCTTGCACCAGTTCCAGGTGTGCACTCCCTACACGTTTTCTCTTTTGGATCCAGTGTGGCGCAGTGGTGAAGAACATGGGACTGGGACTCAGACAATCCGGGTTCAAGTCCCCACTCGGCCATGGAGCCAACTGGGGGACTTTGGGCCAGTCAGACTCTCAGCCCAACCTACCTCACAGGGTTGTTGTTGTGGGGATAAGATGGAGGAGGAGAATGATGTAAGCTGCCTTGAGTCCTTTGTAGGAAAAAGGCAGGCTATGAACCGATAAATAAATAAACTGATAAATACTAGTAGAACAGACTACAGAAACCCAGAAATGGGTGTGCTGAAGGCAGGGCATGGAAGTGGATAGTACATTTGCCTACGTTTCTGCTTATTCTTACATTCTCACTGTTTTGGGACAGTTTCAAGAGTTATGAAAGCAACTGATCAGGATGGGTGGGGAATGCCATGAAGTTGCACCCTCTTTTCCCGGAGTGACTTCCTGACCCTTGCCCTCTGTGCTTCCTAAAACTGAGAAAAGATCGTTCTTTGTTCAGGGTGAGTCACAAGGGATCACAAATTAGGTATTCTGCAATCATCCCTCCCAGAACACATCATTTTACAGGAGGCCCGGAGAACTCATCTACAGACCTGCAGCTCCTGCCTACAAATAGATCTCCTCTTTGTGACCTTCCCATGTTTTCCCGTCGCTTCTTCTGTGATGTTCAGAAGTGGATTAGAACTTGGGTTCACAGGGCCACAGCTCTTGGAGGTATTTTTTAATTAGCAGGGAGGATCAGATCATTTGTCCCTGTCCTCCCCGATCATCGCTCTTTCCCCTGAGCTGAGCTGCTATCTTCACAGTAGCTGTAGCTGAAGAAAAAAAATGGCTTTTCCTAGCTACAAGCTATCCCTGCTGCAATGCAAAGTATTTGGGGCCAGCTTGAGCTTGAATTCACAATTAAAATCCATTAACTTTATACAATACCTGTTCCTGGTGAAGATGAAAATGCTAGGGCAAGATGGTTGGCCACGCCAGCCCAAGACACAAACAGTTCAAGTTCAAATGAACTCCAGAGCAAATTTAACCTATTACTCTTACACTATTTGGGGATATGTCATGTCTAAGGTTGGGAGAACCCTGTCAGAATGCATCCTTCCAAATATTCATGGCTTTCCTCTTGTGCTTGGCCTGGCCCTCCAAAGTGATTGGAACCAAAAGGAAGACTGAGAACACTCACGGACCCTTGTGGTGCAGCCGACAACCGTCATCCACATCAGCTGGAGCAGGCCAAAGGCAGGGAAGGAGGCTGCCTGCGCAGCAGTCGTGGGGGGCTGCTTCCCTGGTGAGCCCCTCGCAACCAGCCTTTCTTGGTGTCCTTTGCAGCTGCCCACCTCCAGAACCAAGACGCTCACCCATCCCTAGTTAAGTCTCTTCCTTTCATTCCTCACGTAATCGCAGATCTTCAAGGACAAAGTTCAACATACGCACCCGTTTGCCACCCCACTATTCTATAAGCCTAAGCTGGGCATTACACTATATATGCACAAACAGCACATGCACATGGATCACCTCAGTAAGGGAAAGGAGTCCCTACATATTTTACTCTGTTGTTGCTTAGTGGCAAAGTCATGCCTGACCTACCACGACCCCATGGACAACATTCTTCCAGGCTCTCCTGTCCTCCACCATCCCCTGGAGTCCACCCAGGTCCACAACCACCACCCCAGTGACCCCATCTAGCCAACTCAACTTCTGTTGTCCCCTTCTCCTTTTGTCGTCAATCATTCCCAGCATCAGGGTCTTCTCCAGGGAGTTCTTTCTTCTCATTAGGTGGCCAAAGGATTTCAGCTTCAGCTTCAGGATCTCACCTTCTAAAGAGGAGTCAGAGTTGATTTTCTTTAAGATTGACTGATTCGATCTCTTTGCAGTCAAAGGAACTTTCAAGATTCTTCTCCAACACCACAATTCAAAGGCCTCAGTTCTTTTCCTTCTGGTTCAGCTCTCACAGCCATACACTGCAACTGGGAAAACCAGCTTTGACTATATGAACTTTAGTCAGTAGGGTGATATCTCTGCTTTTTAGTATATGGTCTAGATTTGCCACAGCTTTCCTCTCAAGGAGTAAGCATCCTTTAATTTCTTGGCTGCACTCACTATCTGCGGTGATCTTGGAGAGCAAGAAAATAAAATCTGTCACTACCTCCATTTCTTAGCCAGTGGCTAATGGTGGGCAGTGCTCATCTCCATTTCTGAGGCCATAAGCCTGTGATGTCTGAAGACATATTTTATTTTCTGACTGTTATGGAGTTCTGTTACCTTCCTACTGAGGTGGAACCTATTTATCTATTCAAATTACATGCTTTCAAACTGCTAGGTTGGCTAGGAGCGAGGGGCAAATGATGGGAGCTCACTCTGCCTGGCAGAGGGTGGGCTTGAACCGCTGGAGTGCCAACCATTTGTGGGTGACAGTTCCAGCATCATTAAGCTGCTGCACTATCACTTCCCCCCTCAACACAGTAACCTGCATTTGTCGATGTGAATTTCCTGACAGAACTGGATGATATCTGCAAAGATAGTTGCCCTTTCTGAGTGGATCAAGGTTTCCAATGAATAGGTGCTGGGAGCTTGGGTGAAAACAGCCTTAAGGGCTCATCATAGTTTGTGTGTTTTCAAAAAAAAAAAAAAAAAAAGGCGAGTTGAGTTTTTGTGGGCGGTTGTAAAGAAACTGTCATAACACATAGCAGTGGCACTTCCTCTTCCTCAACATTTTTTGTGAAAAGCAAAAGTTCATATTCAGGAGAGGGGAGTAAGTGATTCTTTTCCCGTGGGTAAGTTGGATGCAAATCCATTGACAAGAAACCTGTCACATTTCAGAAGGGTGAGGGCAAGACTTGCGGAGTTTCGATCAGTCTGAAAACTGGTCACAGAAAGTATGGCAGGGCGTGGATGGATTATGGTTGGGAGCATATAGTGATGGAAGCAGGAAAAACTGAATGTCAAGTATTTTCCAAGAAAGCACCCATGAAGGCCTGCAGGGTTTACCAAACAGCTTTTAATGCACTTGTTCTGGAACAATCCTGAAAGGCAGAGGGCTTAACTGACGGAGCCGGTAGCAGCAGTTCCCCGATGCCCCCAGACACGACTGCGCTGCCTCTCGCGGCAGCATCTTGGTCACAGAAATTCTGGGATGAATTGACAGGTTCATTAGTCTGCAATGGAAGAATCAATGGACAAGGCTTCATAATACAGCATTGCTCACAGGACCCAAGTTCCAGTGCCTTAATTGCAGCAGCAGCAGCTCCATGTCGCCATTTATTTTCTTAAAAGACTAAATGAGAGGAAACAATCAAACAGGATGAGAAGCTGCAAGTTAGTTTGGTGGTGGCGCATGTGTGTGTGCGCGTTACAGGGAAAGAAAATGAGTCACTTAACTGGAAAATCACTTAGACGAGCTTGGCAGCATTTACTGCGGGCTTAGGGACAGTTCGGATGAAACAGCCCCGCTCTCCTAATGAACATGCAAAGCTCATTCAGCTGCAGCTGTAATGAGAGAGGGATGAACCACTGGGGGTACTCAGCTGTGCACTGGGGGTGCCTTGCAGCTCTCGAACGCTCGGAGTGGGTTTGAGATGCACACTGTGGATTAGCTCCAGGCTGATCCATGACCAAATTAAGTCTCACACTGATTTCAGTAGGTCTACTTCAAGCATGACTAAGCCTGGATACAACCTCGTGTGTTTCATCGCTGTTTGGACAGCGGACTGGGATGACATCGTAGTTCATGTTTGTGTCCCTTCTAGTTTCCCATTTAGTTTCTTTTCCCATCTGTGGTCTACTTCTGCTCCTTAAAGGACTTTCACAGAGGCCCCGAAGTGGTGTGTTTCCCAATAGCTGGCTCCCAGGTCCCCTCTCGGTGAGCACAAGCTGGAGTCGCCATGTGGCATGTGGCTGGAATCTCAGACCTGGGCCTGTCTGCCCAGCTCAACCTGGATGTGTTGCCATGCGCACACCTCTGGCTGATGGATGGCTGCTCTGTAGACCATGTGCCCAGGCTATGATGCTCATCACACCCAGCCAGTGTGGTCCACAGACATGCTTGGGGTGGTGATGTGAACTGTAGCTTAACACATCTGGAGGACAAACCCACTCTGCCAACAGCTACAGCCATAGGAGTTCTGTGAAAATGGTCGTCACCAAAGTAGCTGTGTATTTATAGCAACAGTAGCAAAAACTCATCAGATGAATCAGTCCTACTCTCAGCTTTGCCCTTATAATTAGCTGAATTTCTTTTCTTTTTTTTCTTGCTTGAGGTCAAAACATTTCCATGTATCTTGCTGGAAGCTTTTAATACATGGAAACTGAGCTTTTTTGAAGGAAGTATGAACCCGCTGTAAGTCAGTTACCTATTTATAAGAGCAGTACAGAGAGCATAAGGAAGCTTTAGGGTGGGATGGCTAAGCAAAACACTGTTTCATAGGCCTGATAAACTATTGGTTCATCAGGCCTAGTTTATGGCAGAGTAAATTTCAGAAAGTATTTGGATGGAGTAGTAGAGTCATTTTTACTTTGAAAAAGAGGGAGGTTTCTGGGGAAACCTTGTGGTCAATGACTCTTTTTAAGATATGTTGGCAAGCACTGAGTGCAGGGACAGGAAGTTTAAGCAGAAGTTGGGCACTTTTTGAGTTCCTCTGAAATTAATGGATGATGTTGTAAGAGGAAAACACTTAGAGCTAGAATAAGGGGATTCAATCAGGTTAGCCCACCTTACAATAGCCAAAGAGTAAGCTTATTGCATAATGGTATTAAAGTGTGGCATTGGATAAAGGGTTGGTGTAAAATTTGGGAGTACAAAAGAAAGTTTTCCCTGATGGCTAAAACTTCTAAAAGAAGAAGCTCCGTTAC